CAAACGGCCGCTCGCAGTGCGCACAGCGCGAAGGGACTGGACAGGTGTCGAGTCAACCTGAGCATTCATAAATGCGACTCACCTCGGATGTCTGAGCCAAGAGCTGGATCCGCCGGCACTCGGCAAGCTGGCTAGACCCACTCGAGTACTGTGTACCTACTTCACCGCCTCTCCTGGCCGGAAAGGAGAAAGCATCGTGCTCAAAGCACGCCGGGCGGTCACGCACAGTACAAGTGATCGGACAGACACTTCATCGATCTGCGAACTCATAAATGCGGTTCATTAATGCTGGTCAAATCCACTCGGATAGCAGTCGTTTGTTGCCTCACATACAAGAATGGGCCTTCCCATCGTAGGTGACAGGACATAGAGCACAATCCCTGGAATGACCGTTCATGGTATCGAGGAACGGCGAGACGTCTCTGAAGAGGATGTGGTCACATCCCACAATTTAAGGAGAAATCAAGCTGTCCTTCTTTCATTTAAAAACCCCTTCCAGCACGATGGAAGAGAGGTCGCAAAACTTGGAGAAAAAAAGAGTTGAGACCAAGCTGTTAGCAAATCCTTGCATTACAGCACTGCTGCCTAGTTCCGAGCTCCGATCGCCGACGAACCAAGCAGACCCGAACTCCATTGCCCCGAGCTTCTACTGCGAACTGAAGCTCTCCAGCAACCTCATTCAAACGGTCCAAGGGAAGCAGACTCGACCCGACCATCGAGCGAAGCGTCCTATAGCCACATAAAGTCCCCACACAAAACAAAGAGGGCCTTCCCTCTGCTTCTGTTGTAAACATTTGATTTGTTAGTTTGTAATAAGCTTTCTTATAAATACAAACGAAACTCCTTTCTTCGGAAGAATCAAATTTTCACCCTACAGACAAATCAAGAAGAGTTTTTAAACATGTTTGCAAGTTTGTTTAAGAGTTTTTAAAGAAAATTAAGTGTGCTGTTTATGTGAAGAGAGTTTCACAAGAGGAGAAGATCATTTCAGTTTTTGAGCTTCAATTTTCATATCTCTATCTCTCTTGTTTTTAGAAAAGTTTTACTAAACTCAATCTTTAGCAATTTTAATTTTGATTATCATTTTTATAAGCTAGATTTTTAATTGAGTTTATATTTTATTTTACTCATTAATTGCACACACAACCTATTGAGCTTTTAGTATTTCACATTAAGTATAATTTGGGTTGTGGTGAGTGACTCATTGAGTGTGAGCTTAATTTCATTCTCATTCGTTAGAGATCAAATTATTTGTATTTGAACCTTATTGTTGAGAGAATACGTTGTAATACACAAGGATACTTAGAGGAGTGGTTGGTGAGAGACGGGGTCAATTCCTAGAGGAGTGACGTTGGTAGTAAAGCCTAGTGAAAGGTTGTAAATTCAAGAACTTGAGGAAGGTGACACGGGCTAGGTCAATACTTAGAGGAATGTATTGTGTATTGACAATTGTGTGAGATTGTAAACATTATCGGTGAGCATTGAAAATCGATTGCGTAGTTGTTATTTTTTTAAGATAGTGGAGACTCTTCTCGAGGATGAGGAGCCGAGACGTAGGTCATGGATCGACCGAACTCCGTGATCATTTGTCTTGTATTTGTGATTGTCTTTTGTGCACTATCTCTCTCGTTCTTGTGTTCATGTTTATTTCACTCATTGTTTAAGTGTATATCCTTGCATATTTCATTGTATATTACATCATTAGGATATATTAGTTAATAAGTTTTAAATTTGGCATTAATATTAGATTAGATTAATAAATACCCTATTCACCCCCCTCCCTCTAGGGTATTTTCATATATGTGATTTTCGTGTGTATTGTTTGATTCGTGTATATTCTTGTGAATGGGGCGAAATTTCATGTATATTGTTGTGAATGAGGCAGAAATATTCATGTATATTGTTGTGAATTTTTTATGTATATAAAAAACATGCACACATTATGTGCATGTTTTTTGAAACCTGCAACTCCACGGGATTTCAAATCCCATAGAGTTGCAGACTAAATTCCAGAGTGCGATGCTCTCTGGAATTTACCCAAAAACTTCACGGGACTTAAAATCCCGTAAAGCTTAAAACTTTACAGGATTTCAAATCCGTGAAGCTTTGGCTTCCTTAATCAACACAGTAATAGGGGCTTGAACTTCACGGGATTTCATATCCCGTGAAGTTTTTGATGTTTTTTCGCCATTTTCGACCTAGTTTTAGCCAGGTGGCTGAAACTTGGTTGAAAATAGCAATTATTTTTAAAATAGTTCATTTTTTGCTAATAAGTTTCTAAATGGGTCTATTTTGAAAATTTGTCCCTACAAATATTATGCTAGTTTGAAACTACTGGACACGAGCTTCTTTCAAGAGCAACGACGGATGAACCCTGATTGCAGTTCACGAGGAAAGATTATGGAGAAAACATTCATGTGTTTCTGCTTTACAATATCTAAATAGTATTTAGAGTTTGTCGTATGTTTATCATTTTCCTTAGAGATTATATTGATGCAACTTGTAATTTAACAGAAAATTTTCAAAAGATATCAAAAGAAAAAAGAAAAAAAATCTACAATTTTCATTACCATGTGAGTATCACATTATAATACTCCAAGGAAAACACTCGCTTTTTCATTATGAAAGACACTATCTTGTCAATTTTAAAATTTCAAAATATATAACTGCTGCCAAAACGAGTAAGTGTAATAAGTGCAAAGTAGGTAAGACTAAATGACACTTAAATACTCTATTGTTTCATCACATTTACACTTAAGTACCTTAAGTTGAAGAAAACAACAGTTTGATATCCTAAGTTTTTAAAAAGTAGCATTTTAATAAACTAAGTTGTTAAAAAAACCTACACTTAAATTCCATATTATTTCACCAACTTTTATATTTAAATATTCTAAGTTATAAAAGCAGCAATTTAATAACTTAACGGAAGAAAATAACACTTTAATACGCTAAATTGTCAGAAAGTAACACTTTAATATATTATGTTAGTTGTCAGAACATATTCCTAGGAATATTCACATGACAACTAATAGAAGATACCATCGTGCCAAATTTTTTATAATTTAAGATATTAAAGTGATAATTTTATAATTTAATACATTTAAATATAAAGGTGGTGAATAATATGGGGGTGTGAGTCAATTGAGATATTTTCATGTAGAGTGGGATAACTGTTAAAGTGGAATATTTTTTTACTAGTGGGATATTTTAGTGGGATAAACAGGAATAACTTTGTGATGTGGGATATTTTGATGAAATAACGTGGGATCATTTTTTACAATCATGAAGTACATATTTATGCATTTTTGAGAATATAAATACTATTTATGAATTCTAAACTTACTATTATTGATTGATAATTTTTTATGAGAATGTTAATTATTGTTAAATAACTTTTGGTTAGACTATAACATATTGACAATTATTATTATATTCTATGTTGTAGCTTTTTTATTTTTTAATTAGTATTATAGTACAAGCCTAACTTTTATAAATTAAAGATATAATCTTTACTTTTAAATAAATTATATAATTATAATATTATGTAAGAAAGAAAATATCAAAGATGACTAAGAGGAGACGAGATCTGATCTGACGGTATGGTCCAATGATGGTGATAACCACAGTAGGAAGGAAGTAAATAAAAAATAAAAAAATAAAAATAAAATAAATAAATAATCGTTCTAGGTTTTTACCACCTAGTTCCAAGCTAAAACTTGAGACAATTTGAGAGACTAGAAGTGTCATTTTTTTATAAAGATAAAAAATTGTATAATTATTCAAGATCCAGTTTTGTTAGAGTTCTAGTTGACTAACACTCTAAAAGTTTATTTTAGTTTTAGTTCTAGTTGATTAACACTATAAAGTTTTATACCACAAATTACTCTAGTTCTATTTTTGAGTGCTAGTTGACTAACCCTCCCATGGGGTATTTAACTACTATTTAGCATGTAGGTAATTATAAGTTATACAAGTGCTAATTGGCCAAGATAATATAATAGTCATTTTCATTTTCAATATAGGTTCATCTTTGAAAAATCTAACTCTACCACCCATCTTGAGGGGTGGGCAATAGGTCATGCTGGCTCTGTAGGTCGGCCCATGCGGTGGCAAGGCAAGCCAACCCACAACTCACAACGAGTTTGAGCCGTGTTTTGCCGCTTGTTCCCGGGCTTAGAGCTCAACCCAGCTCGCGAGTGAGCCCGAGAACATAGAGGACAGACTATGACACGGGTCGACCCACCTAGGCCACTTAATTCTTTTTGTTATTTTTAATATTTAATTATTTTTAATAGGTTTTTAAATAAGAATTACATGTAAATAGCAAACTAACAATGACATGATTACAAAAAGTGGGAAAAAATGTTATTAAGTAAAATTGTATATTTACACACAATTACAAAAAGAACTATCACAAACACAGAGATTTAATGCAGTTCAGAACAAGTTTTACATCAATGGGTAACATAATATTGTTCCATTAGTTAAAAAATATAAGACTAAAAGAAATTACAATAAATTTTAAAGAAAACAGATATTATCATCAATCAAATGCAAGCCTATGGGGCCGCGATAAGTGAGTCCTCCCCCTCGCTATAGGCCCAGCCCGTT